GGAGGGAAACACTTATGGCAGGTAGCAGGGCTGGACTTCGCTCGCAGGGGCGGAGCGTGCGCAGAGTAAATGATGGAGCGGAAATTCGTAGCTTCTGGACCTAAAGAGTTCAAATTCTGTAGGTGTTAATAAGTGGTGTAGGATATGACGGGATCGTAGCTACTCGGTGGCAGGAACCGATAATAACTGATATGAGAAGATAATGAGTCTAAGAAAGCTAGAGACACATAACGATAAAAATCCTACCGCTTTCGGTATTTACGATGCAGCTTTGGATGTTCAGTATGTTTCATTGGATAAGACGGGATGGTAGACTTGGTTGGCAAAAGTGAGTGGTAAGTGCAGTGATAGGGACCCAGTGGCGGTACTATGATAAGTAGATGAAGATTTTGTTCATTTCATGCTATTAGATTACGATCGCTACCCAGGAAAGTTTGTAACTCAATGAAGGATCCTCTTTGGTCGATATCATTTGCGGCAAAACTTAACCGACCACCAAAATCTGGGATTCACAATAAATGATATCTCCGTAAAAAGAAGGGTCCATTGATGATGACATCTGGTCATGGTGTTATCATCACTCGAAACATTTGTGAGCACCGCTCAAGGCTTTCAAGGCTTTGGTTGCCTAACAGCTGAAACTTTATTGGGTATAAACTTTGCGAGAGATCGAAGATTTGAGAGCGAAAGATCGAAACTTCCAATCGAAGGCATAAACACCGATCTACACTAAATACCATTTGCATTGCCCTGTTTGTCCTGTGTCGAACTTCGTGATCAGTAAAATATTAATTGTTTCAAAGAATGAGAAGAGAATTACCCGTTTACTACAACTTCGTCGAAGAAGTAGGGAAACCTGGCGTTACCCGGGCGAACCGACTGGTATCCACTTTATTAGCCTAACCCTCTCATAACACGGCGATCCATAGCCCAACCGATGAATAAAGTATTAGGTCGTTCGGGGAGTAGTTACGAATTTTAAGCGTTTCACAAGACAGCCTTTGTCTGCTGTTGAGCGAACCCTAATCAGTGAATACAGTCAGTTCTGTTCGGTTGTTTTTTTTTGCCTTTTTGTGGTAGTTTTATAGCTCGTCCCTCGCACAGCTCCGGTTTTTTGACCAAAAAACAGGACCACGTAACAAAGGTACGAAAACTTTGAAATTAGCAACAATTATACGAAGAAGGGTGACGGGAAGGCCCATTAGTCAGGCATAGTCTTGCCCGATAGTTCCGTAAAGGTGCATTACTAGCGGCTTCCCATAGAGTCACACGAAGTTGGCATTTACAAGTTTCGCAGTTCGAGCTTGTCCATCACTAATGTGTGAGCATTCACATCATGAACAGAAGCAACTGGGGTTAGTAGTGAAGAGTCGAATTTTAAGCAACAAGATTATTCTCAGTTTGAAAATATATTTATTAAACATTCATTGAACACCATCTTTAACCTTTTTCTCACCAGCCTTAACCACTGAATCAACTTTTGGTTTCTGAAAAGTTTCTGAATTGAGTTGATCAGTCAAACTCAAAGAAGAAAACAATTCACATCTTCCGCTGAGCCTTTTGAGCCTTTTCCGGCTTCGCTTGATCCTTTCTTGTCGTCCTTGCTCTGTAACCAGAATTTCCTCTAGATGAACTGTCTATAAATGGAAGAAGCACTCTGACCGATACAACCGCCCATCTCCCGTTAAAAAGACGGATAGAATCCAATAAACAAAATAGTATCACCAATCACCTCTTCCTTCTCACTCCAATCGCTCACTATATCATCAAGCGTTGGATATGCCTGTCTTCCAGTTTGGAGGCCTGATTTTATCAAGCGCTGAAATGAAGACTTCGAAAACTACTGAACAGAACTGAAAAGCTGAACAAGTCTTTCCTAATGTCAATTGCGGACCTCCTTTTCAGTTAGCTCAATTTGCCTCGGTTGTATTCTGGAAGAAGGCCTCTGCTGTGGCTCCGACACCTGAACAGATCTATTCTGACTGATCTATTCGACTAACCGCACAAAATAGGCTTAACGATGGCGGAACTTTCATATCACTGCTACGGATATTCCTCCAAAGAGGGTAACATATTAACTTACTGATTATGTGTTCCTTCAGTTCCTTTCACAGTTAATGATCGTCAAAGCAACTCACTGATGAACTGATTGAACTTTTTGCTTTAGGCTTCCTTTTAAGACAGAGTAATGATGTAATCGAAATCGCAACGTCCAAGTATACTATCACCATTAAGCTGCTTTTCAACATTGTTTCCAGTGTTATCTAGAATGCTTCATAATAATCAATCAGAGCTAGTTTGAGTTAATCATTCACTTCATGTGAAGCACCGGTGTTAGCCTGTTTGTATGTTTGTTTGTCTGTCTGTCTGTCTGTCTGTCTGTCTGTCTGTCTGTCTGCTTGTCTTCCCTCTGCAAATATCCCATGAAATGGTAGCGGTGGTTGTTATCAAAATCCCACCGTTACAATTAGGAGGAAGCCCAAAATGTAAATAGGTCAGGACGGTAGCGATGGTGAGTGCACATCGTAGACCATAGCATAAGTGTCTGCTTCGCCTCGGTACATCCGATTTATCGACAGAGCGGTTCATAACGATTGAGTTTTTACAATGACATGGCGCACTCAAAACGATAATATCGATTGATACCAATGATCCCTGAGGTCCGTCCTCTACCCTTCATGCTGTACAGAGGCATGTGAGTTTGAAACGTAGTTAGGTAGTCCTCCTTGAGATCACACATTATTGGGTACCCTCGATGGCCACGAATCTCAGGCCGTGTTTGAGTGCTAATTTTCCGGTCTGTGTGAGACCCTGATCTCTGAATCGAACGGAATGAACGTGTTTGAACTTTTGCTCTGTTCCTAATCAGTTCCATGAGAAACCACACTTAGTGTTTCTGAGGCATCATAATTTCATCCATTTCGAGCTAAATCTCATCTGCGGTCAGACAGCCTCCATGAAAAGATCATTCTCTCCGCATTGGATTCATACCGATAAGGAATACGCATTGTGGATAACAACTCATCTTCCAATGGGCTACGTTTTTTGGCCTATTAGAACGGTTAAATGTTTATAGGTGGGAGTAGGGCACGGCTGCTTCTCAACATGGAGCGCTGAAGCGTACAAAAGCAGGCGTAGTCGACTTTGCGAGCCTACAGGGGTGCTCGCCTGACATTTCATAGCCAGGAGAATATAGTTCCACCTAAGCCTCATGAGGGGGGAGCTCCGGGGTAGGCGAGTTAATGAATGTTCATTTTTACCCCATCCCAGCTTTCTGCTCGAGGTAACCATCACACCCACCCCAGTGCTCCTCCTACCCTGGGACCTACATCATTTGAGGTGGTAGCTGATATCTGTAGAGTGTCCTTGGCATATTTTGCTTGCAAACATTTGTATGAGGAGGATCTGGTGCGAATCCAGTAGCCACTCACCTCTTCAATGTATAATTCGTATGAGATTCACGATAAGGTAACCACTTAAGAAGCTCGACACTAAAGAACTGACCACCCTCCTCCTGAAGGTCTTAAGTAGGAGGATTTGCTGCTGCTATACGTGATATTGATATGGAGCATCGACACTGAAAATATCGATGGTGATAAATGTTGCAGGGCAGCACGCTCTTCGATTTGGCTCCGCTGAGGACCAGCACGACATCTATCTCCTTCCTTGAAAAGAGCTCAGAATTTTTTACAGTGAAAACAGCATACTGTGCCCTTTCGAGAACATATCCGTGAATGGCATCGGGTTCACTAGCATCAACGAAAACGGTTCCATTAGGTCATCTTTAGAACTATTTGACGCCTTCGAAAAAGAACAGTTAGTGTGCAGCTCGTGCAGCCCAATCGTCCCAATGGAACCGTAATCAGTCATGGCACCGAGCACAACCTACACCTTATTATCCTGTGAGCCTGCTACGATAAAAAACCAAGTGCTGACCTTGTACAAAGTCGTACAGTCGCGACCTTGCTTTAGAAAACAGTCAAGGCCACTGACCAGTACAATGAATAGGTTCAAAAGAAGTTGTGTCACCTGTATCACCTATCGCCCCGTTAGTCATCGTTTGCAGATGGGGTAACAGTAACATCTTCATTCGCCACTGCTGCGAGTCAGCGTAGGCCAGCGTGCTTACCGCTTGGGAGACATCATTCCTTCCATTTAAAGAATTCATGGAGAAGTCTGGTCATTGCAATTGCCGTCGTCCTGGCTCTCTTGACGGCTCGAGGGATCTAGTTACTAACCACGCCGGTCTAACAGGCATCACGAGCATGACGTGTCTAGCCTAGCCAACCTTCGTTCATGGCGCAGCTGGGAACTCAGAATTTCTCTCTGCGCCTGTGTCTATTTGAAAATTACGGGCATCGTCTTCAGACTTGTTGTTAGACAAATTGCAAGACCGAGTAAAAGCCGTGAATAAGCTTCCCCTTGGAGACACAGTAAAACGTTCCGTCAGGGGGACGAACTGCTGTTTTCAGGCCATAAAAAGTTTGTGGTTTTTTTACAACCAAGTAACGCTTGAGAAGGCAGAGTACATGGCAATCGAAAGAGGCAACGCTTCGGGAGTACGACTGTATCTGGCTTATGGTTTTGGACGTCTTTCTCTAACCGCGCTGCCTTCTGGGGTTCATAGGGGTAAGCGATAGCTAAATATATAGATAGAGCTAGCTAGATAGAGCTATAGATAGCTATCTAGTCCGCGTTCGGCAACTCATAGTGATTGGTTCTTTGTACCCCACAAAATTGTGAGATGGTTTAGTTTCTTCGAAGGCTAGAATCTCCTTTAGTGAAGCAGTCGAACTGATTGTTGACCATTGCTCAGTGAACAGTGCTTTCAGCGAATATGTCGCTGATGTCAGCCGCTACAATTGTTTTTCTCTTGACGTGCCTAGTAGAAGGTGATGGTGCGAATCTGGTGTTGGTATAACCATTGATGGTAATGTTGCGAAAGCCCACATGCATGCCTTTGTTTACTCATGTGTTGATTGCACAGGGAATGTCCTAGAAGTACATGACCCTTGTTATTGTGCTCACGTCGTTTTCACGAAATTTTTTTGTGCTTTGAGTTTTCTTTCGATAAGATACTTTCTTACCAACCCAGTGAAACGTCTTTTAGATATACATGGCTCATCAGTGGAATTTTCCTCACCCCAAGGAAGTCTTTTAGATATTCGTGACTTCACCTACCCTATACCTACACAACGTAATATTCATCAAACTAGGAGCCGTACACTAGACTCGAAATCGGAGATCTTACCACTAGCCTGCATTGCATGTCCTATAAAATGCGTGTGTCCCTTATCCACTTTCTCTATGATGTTCTTCGATACGCAGCGAGTACGGCATGCCGGTCGAATAGTATGATTCGCAAAAAATCGAAATTTCACACCGTTCACTATTGTTTTCAGCCCAAAATCCAGGAAAAAAACGCTTCGGAGGTATGGGTCAACGAAAGGATTCAAAATTGTATTCGAAATTGTTTCATTTATTAATCAGTTAAAACGAACAAATAGCCAATCACAGATTTCAGATCTAAGATCACAAGATTCCGACATCGAACAAAGGAAAAAATAACAAAAAGCGAGAAAAATCCATTGGCAAATTTTGTTCCCTAAGAAAATCTGACTAGAAACCATGTCAGGAATGTTTAAGTGAAATCAACTCTGAGTAATATTATGACAGTAGAAGCAGGTAAGTATCATGACTTTGCAGCTTCTTTTTTCTGCTCTCGTTGCTTCCGCCAGGAAGACCCATCAAGATTGATCCATTCCAACCAATCGTCACAAATCGTCCTGTTCTCCTGAAAATAACTGGATGAGTGGACGCGGATACCAAGGTATCAACAAGTGCGAGCACCGTGTGCACATCAAGCGTGAGGAAACTATGCGTACAACTAGGGGTCCTGCCTGGGGTTACGTTTACGTTCAGCAGAGCTCATAACACTACCCCCCGTAAATGACCAAAATTTAGCACCACTAGGCTGAGAACAAGATATACCTACTCATTAAATTTGCTGGAAGTTATGACGGTAGACAGAAGGTATCTAAGGATTGGGTTGACCTGCAAGCTGGAAGTAATTTACTTGTGCACCTGTATTCGTATGTAGTGAATAGGGTAGCCGGGATGCGGCCCATCAAATATGGATCTCTTCGATTTGTGTGGTCCACGTGAATGACCATAGTACGGTCTTATAACAACTGCTCGTTTTATTCCAAAGAAAAACGCCATGAAATGTTGTTTTTCGTCAGTGAAATGTGTTTCTCTGCCAATAATTGGGTTGACAAATACGATACCTTACGACTTTGTATTGAATGGATATATGAAACACTTAGAAGCACTCCCCCCCCCCCCCCCCCCCCCNCCCCACTCCCCTTCAAAGCTAACCTTCACACGCGATAGCCCTCGGGTTTCCTCGCGTCCATCACAGTGAGCAAGCAGCTTTCTCATGAGACCGGCTGCAAACGTAAATGAATTACCTGGTCTAAGACTACTCCGCTGATGGCTATGAGAGCAGCGTTGTCCTTGATGCAGAATCCATTTGCGAGATAGGCATCAATTTCAGCCAGCAGACCCTTGTATTCTCCTTTCGCAGAAAAGCACATGAATCTACCAGATTTGTCCATCACAACCATATCCTCGCCATACCTGAACATCATAATACATATATGGCTGAAGTTTGACGATTACTCAGTACTTTCATGTGGTTTACTTCCGAATTGTCCTCGGGAAAAATATGTTGCTTCCTTCCTTTCCTTCTTTACTGAAAGACGATCGGATTTCACCTTTGACTGTGTCCACGAAGACCATTCGCTGTCTAGAAGGCAAACGTCAGCTACTCTCCGCAAGGGCCTCAGAGCAAGAAAAAGACATCCATTTGACATTTCACCAACTTCGAGAACATATTAACAGGACGGGTAGACATCGCAGCTACAACGGTGTTATCGTTCAGAGCACATAAAGCATAAAAAGCGTCATCTGACGATTCAACCACTTCCTCCCATGCAAGCGGAGTTTCCATAGATGCCCTGAATATAAGGCAATTGAAGACAGAAAATAAAACGAAATAGAATTATGTGCTTGCCAATTTCACCGCGCATGGGTACATTCGAGCGATTCGGACCGCACGAGGCAAATTGTGCGGCGAAATTCGTGGCAATTCAAACGACTTTGGCGCCTATTATTGGGGCACAAACTTGAAGTAGAATAGTTGGGTATGGTCAGCAGATCCTACTAATCTACTCTACTTAAAGTTTGTCCCCCAAAAATAGGCGTCAGAGTCTTTCGTAACGCCAAGAATTCCGCCGCGCAATTTGCCGCTCGCAGTCCAAATCGCACGAATGTTCCGTCCCCTAATCTTACCTATAAATGAAGGAATCAGATCCGGTAGGTTGTTTGCTGATATACATATCACCGTTGTCAGCAATTGTTAGTGAGACCACTGAATAACATCACTATTAAAGAGACATCACTATTAAAGAGAAACCTATTATAATATGAAACGCAAACATCTGATGGAGGTGTATGGGCTTACATAATCCGTCAATAAACTGCTCGTGCGTCATTTCTCCTGACATCGTGAAAAATCGAAGTTCTGTCAATCGGTCTTTATCTTCTGCACAAGTGTACACAATCTGAAATTTCAGTGAAATAGACAGTCTAATGTATGAAACAATTGGTTATCATAGCTGAGCCACATACTTAGAAGATTTTTTGCCATAAGTCTTAAATTGCGCAAACTCGAAAAAAAGTGAAAATATACTTTCTACACAGCCATATATTGAATTCAAAGGTAGTCCTTTGACACCTAAGGAATATTGCACTGGTCAGATACGAGTTCAAAACTTGAGAACGCCAGAAGGTTTCATCCCCTTTAGAACTTCAATCCCATTTACAACCCATCTTCAGGCATTCTTTATTAAAGTCTGCGTTCGCTTCACTTAACTGGAACTGCACATAGCTACACTACTTGCTCCAAAGATTCCTAACCGTTTCTCGAGAGATCTCAATTCGAAATGCACCTCATCCACATGGACAGAAAACAAAGATTCCAACCCAAGAGGATTTTGAATACAAAACAAGCAGCTGCTGAAGTTTTCAACACTGAGTTATCAGCTGTTTGTGAAACGAGTATAAAAATTGAGTTTTATAACCTCTAGTAAGGAAACAAGCGAAACTCTGTGAGTGTATTCTGAAAAGGAACGACCAAGTGTTCAAAAAATGACTAAGGAACTTGATTGAAAACTGACCGTGCCATTGTGAAAGGCGACCTGTGGAAAGGGAGCCATTTTCTTGGGAAACATATTCTTTCTCTCCCAAATAGTGGTTCTTTTACTGCCGTCAAACTTGAATAATCCACCTTTCGTAGCGACCTGAAATGAGACGTATTGAACGTCAAGAAGGTAACTGGCACGGTACACTACCACACAAAGACTCAGATTTCTAAAATTATAAGTAACATGGCGTTATATCTACATCCTTGATCTTTCAATCACTGCAAAGGTGAACTTCGTATAAGAGCAGCATTATTGCAAGCTTAAGTCAGCCAGCAGATTGGTAGAGTATTACGGATTCCAAATTTAGTTAGGCATATCGGTCAGAGCGAAGATTGATACAACTTACCCAAACATTTCCTTCTGAATCATAGCAGACATTGTACGGTACAGTGGCACCTCTAGGGGTCAAGTGGAGCCACATTTCGTCAAAGCGTTGGAGATCAGACGTGTCAGACTTCTCCTCCACCATGTCTACAAATCAAAATGAAAACCTACAAAGTCAGATCCACGCAGAATATTCTCGTGCAAACTAATTATGCGATACACTGATACAATTCAAACCACAAAAGGATGTGTTCTCTCGCACCGAACTCCTTATTTGTGTTCCACAACTCATCATGCGCGATCTCTCAGCCCCAGTAAATGTTTGAGAACACGAGAAGGGTAGTTCTGTTCTTGTGAAACACATCCGTTAAAACAACAGTGCTTCTGTAAAAGGGTGCAAACGGGACCCGGAATTTGGTCTACTGTCCTACATCTTAGTTTCAGACACCATCCAGCATTGGCATTCAGATGATTAGTAGATGGCCAGCCACCACGAAAACAATGCGATAACGGTCACCAGCCGATGAGGGTAAGTGCAAGGCTTGAGAGATAAATCGGAACACCTTCAAAAGCCTTGAGCCGATTTTGCTCAAGATGTATCGATTACGGCGTGCGTATGTCGTGCGCTGCGTCAACTGCATCCACGATGTAGCCGCCCAACGACAACACAGCAATTTTCACTTGCAAAAAATGTAGAGATGATATGGGGACTGTTATGAATCTTTCGTAAAAATATGAATGCGAACATTAAGGGATTCTATGTTCAGCCTTTGTTGAGCCAGGGCATGTACTGACGCTTAAACGTGTAAGCCGCAGAACATGAGCATCAGACCACTATTGGATCATGAGAATGACCATTTGCTAGCAACATCGACCTAAGAAGACGATTGCTTTGAGCCAAACCTTCCAACATATCAATTTAAGGGCTTTGAATATCACTTGTACCCATCGGTTAAAGTCAGCCGTTAATACATTTGGTGGTGCTTTTTGTGTTTTTGGTATCACTACACAATTACATTATGCCTTGTCAATGCACCCAAAAGACAACATGTCGAACCACAACCAAAACCAGGAGCCAAAAAAGCGCTTTACATGTAAACACACCCCGCAGAACAATGCAAAAAATATGACGGCAAACCCAGCCGAAAGGGTCCCACAGAATCCTAGGTACGTTCAAAAGTAAAAAAAAATGAAAGAAAACACGGAAGAAAAGCGAAATCTTATTAACCAATTTGAAAAAGGGAAATACGGCTTTCTATGATACTTGTGGTGCGACTGCAGACATGACATTATACAAGACGTCTACAGCAGAGAGTTTTGCGTTTTGGATTCTTCCTATTTTGAAGAATTCAGCAACCAATTGTAAGAATAAGAAGACCGCGCTGGATTAAGTGAGCTGATAGAGTGTGGAAGGGGTTGGGCTAGGTTCCCAGCTACCTAGAACTCGTTTTAGGACCTATGTTGGTTTTGAACTCGATCTTGAGTCTTTGGTCCTTCCCATGACCAAAGACTCAAGATCGTCAGGGTTAGGGATCGCAGGGAGTGGTGGGACACATTGTTGAAAGGGATAACGTTGCCACTCCAAAGCAGATGTCCTGTAGAGGGCAAGGGAGGATTACTTTAATTGAGAGGGAAGAGCCACTCATGTAAGGGTTACCCAGGTCCTACCGCTGGAGCAGGTGCTTTTTGACAATTCCCAGAAGCATATCAGTTGCTGGAAACGGTCTCTTATCGTGTTGCGATAGAAATCGATCTCGTACAGAAAGGGATTGATGTCGGGCTTATCGATCGATCGACCCCCCGCACGCTGATATTGATCGATGGTTGTGTGGGCACTGAGTCACTAAGTATGCAGTAAACGTCCGACAGATTATCGTCGGCCACTATGCTACCCTTACTGACCACCATTCTCCCTCCCACACTGTTCCATGGGAACTCTGCTCTAAATCAGGGCGAAATGCCATTTTATTCTGGTGAATATCATTACACCGAAGGTTCCTGAACAAATAGAAATCATGTTTGGAAAGTCTGATGGATGCCGCCCGTATGCCGTTATTTCCCATTTGGGAATCTATTCATTGTTTATTTTTTTCATCAATTGCTACAATTTGTTTTACCCAGATTACTGTACCATTGATGTTGAACGTCTTCGAAGAGTTTTTCGAAGATTCCGAATCAGAACATTTCTGTTGAAAAGTTGTTTAAAAGAACCACCCCTCTCCTCTTCCCGAACATTTTCTACCGTTTAGAAATGAAAATAGATCTGACGATACAATGAATATTGGGTGATCCCTCTTTATGATGCGCCACGCACTCACACATGGTCCATGCCATGNATGCCAATTGATAGGTAGGTGCACTGACTTGCTATGATCGTTAAAGGTTGAAGCCGTCCCAATTCGTGACCCGGTCAGTGAAATGACGTAGTTTTCAGAGGGATTCGTCAGTATTTGATACAGGGATGTGTAAAACTGTTTCCCTAATCACTGCTCTGCTCAATTGAGGCATCGAAAGGAGGTAGTAACAGCGGCAGCATTCCTTCAAAGTAAAAAAGTAACCCCGTTCGGGAGCGATTTCCCTCTGAATTCCTTTTCGAAGAATGGGTAACGTGTCACTAATCTCCGAACAGATCTGACCCAATAGTGTGAAGGTCGAATCCCTGACCTTACCGCACTGAAAATCTGAATTATGCTTGGTTTTAACTCGCGAAAATTATAGGATTGTTCCCTGCGCGATGACCTCTTCATACCTAGCCGTCTATCGATTACGGTATTCTGACAGCTGTTCGTAACTCATTCCCCACGTAGGATCGTCATTCAGTCTAGGAAAACTAAATTCGATCCACGTGGACTTTTTGTATGCTCATTGGTACTATTTTTTCCGAAGAAAATTGATGGAGTAAGCGGCGGTTAGCGTCACAAGTACCCGATGCACCTTTGAGTGGTTACTGGTAACCGGTTCTCGCTTCCTCATGGAGTAGCCTTTCCTCTCATGTGAGGTGTTGTGGTACTGTTGATAGTGAGTTCCTGGTTCATTCTTATTCTTAGATACAAACTTTCCCTGATCATTTCACAGGGAGCATTGTGCAGGTAGCTGATCGACTGACTTGTTCAAGTAGCTCCTCCATCTCTGACCGACTGCCAAAAGTCTCATTCGGAAGACGGAACAAGGGAGTAGGGATGAGGGGAGTGGGAAGAGGGGAGGGGTGGGGGGGGNGGGGGGGGGGGGGGAGTAATCGATACCTAGTGAAGCATGACAGTGCATATGAGTAGTTTCTACACTCTAGCGTATGACTCAGAATCGAAAATGGGTGGTGCTTATTTCAACGAAACTCGGCCAGTGCTAGAAAAACGTTTCTAAATTTGTCCTTGGATCGTAGGGATGACTCACTTTCACTACATAAAATGAAAAGAGTCCGTTTTGGCATTTACGAAGCTGAAATTCTCGCTTTCTTCCATGGTATTGTGCGTTTTTTGCGAATAGCTACATGACCGCTGCTTAACAATCAGTATTCTCGTATTCTCTCCTTTCTCTGAAGTCTCTTCAGGGATTAGTTAATTCGAGGAAACCCGACCAAAGTCCATATTTGGACGAATGTTTACGGAAATTCCTAAGACGCGAGCGAAGAGTTCCTTGGACTCTGCCCATTGTGGCCGACTTGAATAGTGGTCCAACTTACATCAAAGTTTTACCTGAGACATTCCTTCTCATGAATGAATGTAATATTCTCCACTTATGATCACCACTCTTATACTTTCACAAATGTTCACTCATTTTCCTCACGATTCCGAACAAATGACTTCTTTATTTTACTCAGAAGTCCTATCTCTGATGTCGAATTTAGATGGAAGTCCGCCTGTTCGGAATTCAAATTCGATCATTTTATTTCAATAACTTTCGAATCTCTGAAAATTTGTCGTGTCTAATTAAGCCCTGAATGTCTGAATATTTACCCATTAAAGCAATATCTTTCCGCCTGAACAGTATCACTTTTTATGTGCAGTGAGCCGCCACTTGTTTCTAATACCCTCTCTTGATTAGCTTTGGTCCATACTACGCACGAGGTCATTGGGAAACATGGGTTATTAGACCGATTTGCAGACGTGCCCAAAAGTTTTATTTTGCACTGTCTTCCATTCCTTTTTCTTCTACAACGGCCTGGGAACCACAGCGAGCCTAGTCGCACTTTATATCCCTTCTTGATCAAAGATAACTTCATTCCAAGCCCTGAACGGTTTTGAATGGATGTCGCGTGCACGACACATCCTTAATAAACTATACAACTACCCTCCAAAGGCCACAGGAGTTTGTAATTTGTGAAAATGACTTTCTCAAGGGAAAGTAACAATTCCTTGCCATTGTATATGCTTAACTTCATTAGCGGACTTGCATTCTCTCATATGAAGGCCCTATCTATTAGATTGGGCGAAAGTTATGGGCCAATTTATATTGTAGCCTGAATGGTGTTCAATCTGTCAATTTCAAAAGCATTTCATTTACAGTGCGTACAGTTTCATTCGTCCTCTGAAAGTGCCTACCTCGAAGTTGAGAGATTTCTGTAGTAAGGAATGTCTTTGAGTTTTCATGACAGTTTCCTGGAGTATTTTCGACGGTTCACTCTTGAGCAGCGGATTTTTCTTTTGTGAACTATGCTGCAGAGGAGTGTGACATTAGTTTTTCAATGTGACTTCTACAATTTAGGGCGGAGGTGGTGTAGTGGCATGCGGTGCACTATCACACACGCATGGTCACGGGTTCTAACCTCGGCTCGCTAAAATGAATCCGCCTCCGGCCAACTAATCCCTCCATCCCTTCGTGGTCGGCACCAGATCCGACTGAGAGGATCAAAGCATTGATTTGTTCATCGGCTGGCTGCCGCAATTTATTGAATAGGCCACATACGCATTTATTACGCCACTACGATTCTGAAAGGAACTCTAATGCGGGTCACATCCTCAGACGGGATAGAACAAAGCCTGAAGACTTTATTCTTTATCCCTTACCTTCTATAATTTGAGCAGCATTTGTTAGTCGACGTAGGCGATGGTGTTACAGTGTGTTTGGTAGGTTTCCAGGGAAGTTGCTGTCTTCAAACTTTTCCGAAGAACTTATCAAACACGCTATGTGCAACTGCTCGTGAAAAACCTTGGATATTGAGAAATTGCAAAGCATAGTCTTCCTTTGCTGAAATTGCTCGAGTAGCGATGGGAATTTTTTTGGCATTCACTATGTTCTGCAGGGTTTGCCCATTCGTATAACCAGTGCGGTCCTCTCGCGAGTTTCAAATGGATAAATTTCGAAGTTCGAGGAAGTTCTCCATAACAACCTCTTTAACCTTTCCTCACCTCGGTGAAAGAGACTATTCTAGAACAATGTAGACCGTAGAGAACGGAGTCTTTCGATCCTGATCAATTCTGTTTTGGGGTGCACCCTCTCATTTTATCTCCATTCAGAAACATAGAGGCGTTATATGATACACTTCGGTACAAGTCGACTAAATCTGGTCAGTTGAACCCTTGGCAGGTCCGGAGAGTCGATCTCACAGTCATGCTTGTGATAGTGTGCGCCACATGCCACTAAACCACTGCTACTCGTAGTGGAGATAGGCGCGTTTACGCACTAGCAAAGATTTTTATTGAAGTAGACCTGTTTGAGTTTATCTTTAGCTTGGTGCTCGCTTCTATAATGGGTCATTACTAGAACAGGCTCTTGCCTGCAAATATGAACTGCTCAACATTCGAACTTCTTACGGTCTCTGGGCTGTGGGCAGGGTTCTTCTCCCAGAATTCCCACAGCAAGCGGCAGTGATTCCGCGTGGGGCTGCCGTATACTTCCACTGGCTGAGGGCGAACAGGTGCGGCGAGGGGGACGCGTTTTTGGGGAAAATTTCCCACACCCCTGTGCTGTCACGTCACATTACAGACATTACATTGTTGACGTGTTTCTGAGAATTGATTTATATCGGTTTTCGCTACGAAATTTAATGAAATGCTATCAATATATAATTCTTTGACTGCTGTTTTAACAAGCAAAAGCTGGTGGGAAAATAGCGGGCACATCTGAATACTTCCCAATGTAATTGAATTCTCTCCTTTTTCGTCTATCGGTTGCTCTGTTGGAACAGCAATGCAGAATAATTAGATCTATTCATGTCACTTCTACGAAGAGCTCTAACCTCGCTCCGCCTTAAATGTAAGTTGAAAAGTTTGAAATATCTGTGGTTTAATAGTGCGGTTACGCTCTGCACAGGGTTAATCTTTTTTTTGTAGTTCCCATATGTTGCTACCATAAAGATCTCCATGGCGCGTCCCCAGAAAAACCATCCAAGCTGTTTTGCTATGGACGATTGCCTTTTCTCTTGCTTCCCCTTTTGAGCTTCATGAGAGCAGATGTAAAAACGGCGTGGTTAGGTGTTTGATGGGCTGGTAACACTGTCCCGGTGCCCATTTTCTGATGCCAGAACAATCTGAAAGAACAGAAGCTTGACGTGGGCATCGGCCATCTCGCAAGTGATGAACTATTCATGATGGGGTTGCATAGTTTTTTTTTTTTGCATGAATGGGATCGTTCGTTTAAGCCTACATTCCCAGCTGGGAATCGTGGAAGATACCCGGAGCCCACGATCTCATTCCCACTAAAAAATTTAGAAAAAGACAAAAGTCTTCGGGCGTTCATCAATCCCGTCTGAGGGTTGCACCTTCCTTCACATTTTCCAGTCAGAATCGTAGTGGTATTGTGAATGCTTATATGGACCATACAATGACTTTCAGTGGCCGGCCGATGTACAAGTCAGAGCTTCCATCCTCCAAAAAAGAGATTCGAACCCCTGACCAGGCGTGTGTGACAATGCGCCATCTGCCACTACACCACCTTCGCCCCAAAAAATGTAGTTAGGTGTATGAAAAACTTTATATGCCTCCTCTTCCTTGCATGTTGATATATGATGTATCTCGTCATCATTAGAGCCCGACGTATGGAATAATCTCTGATCCTTAATTTTTGCGAAGCATATTGAAGGTTCAGGTGGTTGTTGTGAAGGCGAGGACGAGGAAAGGTGCAGTTTGATGACAGCATACGGGCATTCAGCTGGTGAATTCATCGAGTGCCTCAGTATTGCAATACAATTGAGAAAAGAAGAAAGTGAGTCAGGGCATCTGTTTTCTGAGCGGGATATCATTTCTAAATGATTCTTTCAGCTGTGGACCAATATGGAAACGTAGCATATCGGGTCGGATTCAAAATTGGTGGCGGAATTGATCAAGATCCCGCCTGTGCGCCATTCAGATACCCCGATCAGGTAACTGAGTTCACTGATTTCTGTGAAAATGGAGTGAAGGTGATGGTTTGTTGAAGGGCATATACATAACGCATATCGATGAGGATTCGCCAGCGGCTCGAGCTGGTCTCAGACGTCACGACAAAATCTTGCAGGTACGCATATCCTACCTAATGTTTGCAAACTCGTTGGCATTCAACTTGACAACCAATCGCGTTACCCTCACGACCTCGCAGTGCTGCTCAGGTTTCATGGAATGGGAGGGTTTGCACAAGGACAAGGTTTTTCTCCGAAGGTACAACCCAACAATCCGCCTAGAATTAACTTTTGCGGTTATTCGAGTAAAGTTTTGATAGGTATTGGTTGCTCCATCAGAGGTGATCCTCTCAATCTCGCTTTCCCTGAATAACAACTGTTAGGTTGAGATTGAATGGTCATCCTCATTTTCGAGTTAATGTTTCTTTTCCTTTAGTTTTAAACCGGGAGAAGGGCGGTTGAATCGGTTTTGTGTGATCGATTTGCCGTTTGCGGCGGTCGCGGACCAGTTGCTTCGCTATTGCAGTTCTATCGTTCTTCATACAGCAAAATCTATATGTGATTATGATTATTGACATGATTTTACTGTTACTTCTTTTTGTTCCCGCATTTCTTAATCGATGCAATGCTTCTGCTTCATTCTATTTCACTCCTTCGCCCGTCGTTCTCACAGAGAAGCGTCAATTTCGATTAAGCTGTACTACTTTCCTACTCTGATAAGGGGCATTAGAAGAGTAGACAGTGATCTTCACTGCAGGATTAACTTGCAACAGCTCTTAGAGAAACATTCTTTTGCAATCCCATAGATGAAAGTAGAACACTTGTTGTTAAGGTGTGTATTCCGGGTGTGGTGCAGTGGAAACGAATCTGTCGCGTCGCGGCAAAAGAGACGCCGCACGCGAAGGAATGTGGTAGAATGCAGCAGCAAGTAAGAAATGCAGGAACAAAAGATCTAACAGTAGAATCATGTCAAAAGCAATAATCGCATAGCGATTGAGCTGTATGGGGAAAGCTGGAACTGTTACAATGAGGCCGAATGGTCCGCGACAGCCGCGTGCATCGGATCAATTGCCCAAAACCGTTCCTACTGCCCGTCTCCCGTGTATTCCTGGTATACGTGCGACTTCGCTGCTCGTAGAATTCAGGGCCGCTCACGACTTTGGTTCGCATCAAGCCCCTAATTTCACCACCGACTCATATTCCCAATAGGTCCGTCCGTTGTGAACGGAACCAAAAAGACTCAGCCGCGATCCTTCGGTGGTCTGCGGAATGGGACAGCTAGAATGACCTTTTTGGCGGGGACATTGAATAATCGATAATAATAATAATTGAATAATTGGCTTCACTACGATGAAGTTCATTATTCTGAAACTTTGCATAATGTCCTTATGCCTGTCGAATCATTCAGTAACTTTTTACAGTAGTCGGGCATCTGAACATTTCAGGTAGGTTTAATTGTTTTCCAAAAAAAACTGAACGAAGTGACGTAGGTTTTCGTGAAACCCAAGAGTTCTGCGGTTTCCAAGAAACGCCCGGCATGTACCCGACGATATTGATAGATTCCTCGAAATGCTGCATAAATTCAGCCCCCTCCTTGTTCAAATATTTAATTTTGCACGTATGGAACTGAATTGTGATGGTCGCGACGGGGCTGAAAATAGTCGATTTCTTTGAGCTGCAGTTTAAGCCTTTGTATTTTCATTTANTCATTTAGGTGAATGGGCTCGACTTCACGCTGTTAACTCACGAGAGAGCGGTGAAATACATCAAGAAGTATGCAGTGTTAGACATGCTTGTGGCTCGAGCCGAACTTCCACCTTTACACCACTGAATATGCCTCTTTCTTGACATGACGATTTGTGCCAAAACAAGCTTCCAATTCTACCATTACCCTTGTGATCATCCTTCGATATATCATTTATTTGCGATTTTTATCGAGCAGAGCCTCCTGTGTGGGTAGTACACATGACCACATCTGGCTATCCCATTCTTTCTTCCCTCCTGTTTTATTTTTATTTTCCACATCTGGGCAACGTTGACCACATGTGATTATCCAGAGCATCCCCATACATAGATTCTTGAGAGGCTCAAGTTTTGATAGAGCGAAAAGTCAGAACTTGCGTTCACAGACCGAATATGTCCAGCTGTGAGACATCACATCTCTGTAAGTTTAGCATTGCCTTCAAAGTCAGATGCACATTTTTGATGCCCTGCTGCTTTTTCCCTCCTGCTTTGTTTTCACAACCCTGATTGCTTCGAATTTCCCACGTGCTCTTGCCTTCACAGGAGTTAGATATGAAAATCAGTAGTCAGGTCCTGAACTTCAGTCCTAGAGGGAGTCTGGGACATTTGGGCAAAGTCGATCACATATGGTTGCCTAAAGAGAGCCTTACTTGGATTTTCAAGACCTCGGGCCCTCTTTTTTTTCACGGAAACGCTTTTTCGCCTCGGATTGCGAAGAATCGTGGCGATCAAGGACAACGTCGTCGATGGATTATCAATGGATGGAAATTCTGTGATGGAAGGGAGTGATCGATGATGTTCACATATAAAATTGACGTCGCTCCCCTCTGCTTCACCACTGCAAAAAATCGAATGAAACTGGCCAAAGCAGTTGATCGAAAGGCAGATTTTGTTGTTTGCAGAGAGAGGTATGAGTTATGAAGATAATGTTGTTCATCTGTGTTATTCAGTCCTGATGTAGTTTCATGGCAATAGCGTGCGGTAAGTTACCACGGTTGGATTAAATCAGCTACTCTTGAGTGCCCCATTGGATACGGTTTTAGTGATGTTCCGAAAAACAATCGCTTAGCACTGAGTCACTATGGTGGGTAATAACAAAGTTGAGCCCGGAGGGTTAAGCGTGGATCGCAGTGGGTAATACTTACCAAATATGATATACTTCGTCTCGAACCGTCATTTTCGATCCAGGAAAATATCTTGTCCTCTGCTATTACGGTCCACTCTTTTCTGAACAGCTGGTTGTATCTTTTTGCTCGGATTTCGTTCTTCATATATGCCGTTTGGAGGAAGTTCTGAAGCTGTTGGGTTTTGCAGTCAAGTTTTCAGTGTTGCAGTGACTGTGACTCCTTGATGTGTTTTCTACTTTTCTACAGCCATCTTTCTCGCCATAGGTTTCAAAGGTATCCATGAATTTGGGAAATATTTGTGGTAGCTTCATCCTCCTATCCTACTGAGGAAGGTGCCCCAAACGGGTTCTCGTTCTTTTGGACTGTTTTGTTCCATTTCCCTCGACTTTTTCTACCACACATCCTTTGTACCGTTGTCATCATATTATTATTGTGCTATGGGTATTTGCCTTATAACTTTGTTTTGTTTATTTTTTGTAATAAAATGATCTTATCTATTCGTCACCAAAGCAGGGAATCACCAAAAACTCGTTCACAACACTTTTTCTTTTCAAGGCCAACAAAGTCAGTTCTAGCTAGGGTTTCAGGATCTTAAAAAAGACCAGGATGGTTTCAGGATCTTAAAAAAGACCAGGAAAACCCTCTGGGATCAAAACAGTGCCAGATGGCAAGAACGGTAGATTTCAAGTTATTTATGCATGTCAACAGTCTGGTTCTAAATTTTGATTGATATTAGACCATGTGAACCTGCGTGTACTCAACCCTAGCTCTTCAATTCTTTGAGATTTTCTTTTGAGAGCGGGCTCAGAGCACTACGTTAGTCATGGCCTCTTTAGTCTTATTCACTGTTCCCGATGTGTTTACGTCTCAACGTCGCCGCTGGAGGATTCGGACCATACCTCCATGGCTCCAACACGACGGAAGGATCTGGAATGGACAATAAATATCCCATTTCTAATTTTCTGAACCGCGACTATGGAGCTTCCAATGAGCATTTTTCACCTTGAACTTGTTATGGCTAACTGACAAACTGATTCCGTTGATGGTGTTTATCGGAAGTTCAGCAGGATGGTTGTGATGGTCTGACAGAATTCATTCCATTGCAATTTCGAAGACTAGACAAATCCAATACCCAACTTGTATCAAAACTTGCTCAACTTGCTGAAAAAAAAACGCTGAAAAAAGATTATTCCGTGGCTGGGTGGTTTCCGCTAAACTCCTCTCTACCGAAACTTCTGCTTATGTTCAATAATGACCTTGTTTGAGGAATTTTTCAACTAACTTCAGACTTTGCTTTGGGAACCAAGCCTTAATGAAGCGTTTACATCTCTACACAGATAAGTCAGTTTGAATCATAAATACTTTCCTGACCAACAAGATCAGATCGATTCATGCTCAACTTCAGCGGTTATGATGTGGTTCTTAGTTGTTCATATCACCAGACTACTGTTACCAATCAATGAAACCAATCAATAACTCGACTTTTCAGTGAATGGCGGTTGGTCGGCCTGGTCATCACCCGTAAGCAAGAAACTTTGAACGCAACATAACTCCTTTGGAACGAAAGTGCTCAGGTAGATATCAGCTGACGCGATGTACCATTATCAGGTCAGAAACGGTCCAGAAGGAAATGCGAGAGTAGCGGCTATGATAGTGTAAATCCGTGTTGAAACGACGGCTGTATCAAACCACCATTCAATCGGAAAGCATGCCCTGCCCATATGCTCTTCCTTTTTTGAAGCTCGTTCTATAACCCGTATTCACTTCCCGAGGTTTTGAGGTTTTTTTAGGATAGTTCTCAGTCATCTATCTACGAAACGGGGTGTGTGATGATATGACACCCCTATTGTTCTCGTTCTACAGAGAGAGGTATCAGACTGCATCAAACATATCGCGAGGCAAAGGTGATGGCAAGTGGGCACTACCACACGCATATCCCCGACGAACGCATCTACAATTGGTAACCGTCCAAGTCATCCACTCGTCCATCTGATGGAGGCGGCATAAGGATAGGATGAATTGGCTCTTGGATCGAGTGTTGTGAGTTGTATAATCCCCTCAAGTTATTTGTAGGCCAATTTGGCACACAATGTCAACACATTGAAAACTTCGATTTCGGATGTTTAAACGGGCATGCTTTTACTTGTACCATCAGTGACTATCAACCTTATTTTTTAACGAATTATCTTCGGCTGGAGCGATCTTATGAAAAGCCATAATTAAAAGAGTGGCATCAATCCTACATTGATAGTGAGATGTCTAACAATTCTTCATAACGACGTTTGAACCATCAAATCTAATTAAATTTCAGAAAAAACAGCGCTTTCCAAATGGCAAAACTACGCACGTTCAAGCATTTATTGAAGCAAACCTCCTCATGTAATTGAGATCCGCGAAAAGAGGAGAAGCTTTCTCGGTTCATACATGAGAAGCGGCGATGGTTGGTGGAACTTGAGTAATCTTTGGGTGCCTTACTGTAGTCGGTCTAGCTTCGTCCTTCGACACTGAATCATTTCATTATGCTTTCAACAATTCAGGTGTAATCATTCATCTATTACCGTGCCGGTATCGCAGTAGAGCTTCTGATACGTTGACTTTATTCCACCTTATAATAGGAACCCGATTTGTATAGGAGCGAAGTCTGGTTCCAGCTGCCTTTGGAGAACAGAACCTGCGCAGAAATCAAAAGGCTGATGTTGTAATGGTCCGTGTAAAACGACATAGTTTAACTGTTCTTCATTTCTACAAAAATGATACCTGTAACCAGTGAGCTGCTGATTCTCGTTGGACTTGATTTCTATGCCAGCATTTGGGCAGCCTTCGAGAGCGATCGGTCCAGAAAAGCTCACAAGCTCCACTTCAATCTCTGTGCTTTCCGGCGACTGAAATGAAACAGCCTCAGTATCTGGAAATGACGTCATTACCAAAAGTCAGTGCTCATTCCATATAATATTTCTTCATTTTTCGCAACATTAGCTAAAACTACGTAGCGTACTTGAATCCAGTAATAGCATTTGGTGTAGTTTTCATGTTCTTCGTAATCGCCTAGAGAATCCGTGAAACTTTTCCACTCTGTAGATGCATCGTATGTGTTCCCGCATTTCTTTGGGCTTCCTTTGGGCTAAAAATATAGTTCGAATAGTATGAACTTATTAAAATGGTTCTCGTACCCTTTCAGAGCATAGTTTTCCAGCATATCCTTCTGGACAGACGCACTTAGAGCAACTGAGTGGGTTAAGATAGCCACCATTTTGACATATCTTATTCCTTCTTTTGCCATTTCTGTTTTTTCCATTTCTCTTTTGTTTACGCTCACACAACTCTGGAAACAGTTGCAATGAACAAAATCTGAAGACCAAAGGTTTTAAGAGCACACGCAAAAACTTACACAAGGAGAGGATCTATGAAAGAGGGTACCTCTATATTGTGGCTCGAAGGTGCTCAAAGCATTAACTCATCAACTCTAAAAGGTCATGTTCGCCAACTTACTATCGCATCCATAGAGCTTGTTTACCATTAAGGCGTCTATGAAGGAAACGAATGGCGAACCAAGTGTTTCTCCATAGTCCTTGTCAATCGGAATCAACGTTGGTTGTCGAGGGTCAATCGCTGCACTAAAAATAGATCATTTGAGAGTAAACGTGATGCTCCAAAACAAATCGGTACACTTGATATGGTGGGTAGTGCTTCTCTACATTACACTATTAAGCTAGGAGAGTTTTATGGACTTGTAAAAATATTCGGACTAACTACGACTTGCGATTGTGCATAATGCTACCATAATCGTAGCCCAGCTTTTGACCATCATTCTCCTCATTTGTTTGCCACTCATATTCTCTGAAGTCCCATTTTTCCTGAAAAGGAGAGCGACAATTTAGAACTGTTTTTACCTTTCATCTCTTGTTTGTACCTGAATATTTTCAAAGTCTATTATGAGGTATTTGTCACGATCATGCCTGGATATACTATGGTAAAATCCAAGAGCGTGGCCAATCTCGTGGGCGGCAATTGAGCTCGTCTCACATGCTTCTGCCAGAGATATCTGCTGTAAGCCTCCTGTCTTTCCAAGGCTCGACCAACATCCGCCCTTTGCTTGCACTATCAACAGATCTTTACCTGGAAATAGGAGGAGCATTTCAAAGTTAGCTTTGTTCAACAGCCCATTAGGAAAAAAGTCAGCACTAAGTCATCATATGGCATTCAATGATTCCAGGAAAATTGAAAAGAGAGCGTGCACAATGGAAAGAATTGTTGACATTCTGCAGCTGCAGCCACTGCAGCCATTTAGTGGATAGAGTTGTCGTTCCCAACCGTCTAATTAGATTGAAATGTGAAAGGTTTCTGTGAAAAGTGTCACCGTGCTTTTTGAGAGTCTCCACGTCGTTTATGTCCTGTAACTGAACGTAATGTTGGAATTTAATGCAAGTGTTTTTCTCCCACATATCCGCTCCTCTCCGAAAGGCTCTCTTGGCTTTTTCGTCTGTAATACTCCCTTTTTGAATGAAATTTCAATACATTTTAGCAGCAGGGACACTTTCATACTTAGAGACGTGTTGAAGATGAAATTCACTGTAAAATTGTTCCAAAGCCTTATGCCATCTTCTCTGATCCCACGACCTTTGGTGCCGTTAGTGTTGGGTCGTGCTAGCTCCTGTTCAAGCTCACTGATGATGATCTTAGTTTGCATTCTTAAAAACACAACATTTTGCTTAACATCAGAACGACCTCCATAATCGGAACGTACCCGTTGAGGTAAATGTCACCCTGGAAAAGCTCTTCATCGACTTTGTTTTCACTGTTGATTTCATCAATGTAGTCTCCCTTCGGATTCAAATGATCGAGCACCATTGTTGGCGGTCTCTAGAGAAAATGTTAAATAATACCTTTTCTAATGAGAGCACACTAATTCGTAGCAAATGGGTCTATTTTGACCACGATGATAGAGAATACATCTGTGGAGAAATGTTACGAAAATCTTTGCTAGTGGCATCATTAGGCGACAAGAAGGAAGCAGAAGTTGTAAGCACTGCAACAAATTTTGTTTCTTTAAAGGTAATCTCAGGTTTTCTAGCAAATGCTGTTTATAATAAGAAATATTGAAAGAAAGATAATGAATAATTAAAACTTCATGTTTTTCTCTGTCTGAGCTGTTCCCGCAAGAAATTAGAAATTAAAATCCAGGTGGACACAGAGATAAAAAAGCAGCTTCAAAAAGATTGGATAGAAACTAGAGAAAATACCTCTTCGTTGTTATTGGTGGTGTTGTCATTGCCAGTGACAATAGAAAGGAGGACGAGTGAAGTCAACCTCATCCTGAAATTTTTTTCCTTTGCTAGGTGTTCGAAACGATTGGATTGCATCATGGTACATGCCGTACTGACATTTTCGTGTTTTTGCTTCTTCATGACTTCATTTCACCCACCATTAAATCGATATGAAAGATCTTGAAATTAGTGGGCACACTAGGCTCTAAGATTTTTATTTCCTCACACAAACACCTCATGGGTTGTAGGAGCCCCTCCAATACTCTAGGCATGTCTACCAGTAATTTTGAACAATGGTGAAGTGGTCAATGCTACAAAGAATTGAGTGCGCAATGGACGCGCTTTCAAAATATTCAATAGGATCTGTCACTGTGACGAGTTTTCCTACCCTTTGCTCCCTCATATTTACATTGACTTTAAGAAATTTTCACTAAACTGAATCCTAGCTGTTATTAAGAGGCTTTCGCAAGAGTGTATTCTTGCGATTCTAGCGGCACTTCATCACTTCAATATCCCACACAAAGACATAATACAGGCTAGCATTCTTATTTCACGGTTTACAAAATACATGGCGTTAATGTTTATCTGCTAGTGCCCGGTTTTGGCTTACAGCGGTATACCACACAGCGGGGAATTGCTTAAGAATTGCTGAGCATCAAAGGCTTTTGTAATAAAGAAGAATGGAAGGATAGTTGCTAAATTTGCAGAAACGCGGAACACAGCCTCATTTTTATATACACGCATGATGTCATAAAGCAATTGATTTACTAGGGCTGAAGAAACATTAGTTCCTCCGGCGTCTGCAACTACATACGCCAACGCAAGCGATCCACCACGTTATTTTTCTCTTACTGGTGTTACTTCACGAGTAGAGCTCTGGCGTAGCTGTGTGGAACTTGCATACTTGGATCCCTAAGTATCTACATTACCGATTTTTCGAAGGTAGAGGTAATAGAAGTTGTTTTCTGCGAAAAACTGTTCTTATGAAAACTAGTCATACTGTCTAGCTGAACACGTTTTTACAGAATCAATCAATTTTCATTTGGTCATTTCCTCAGGAACTTCTTGCCTGGTTCATTTGGAAATTCCAGTGGAATATCCAATTCCAGGAGGAATTTTTTAGGGCTGGAACAGCGTCTCCCCTATCATTTTGGCTTCTTCCTCCTTTTGTTTATCGAGTTTAGCCTTGGCATATCATATACACCTGTGGTGAGTGAAAGCAGATCAAAAAATGGGTGCAGGAAATCGAGTATGTTTTCGTTGAAGCAAGTTCGGAACGAGCATTCAGTAACAGTTTTTCTGCATTAGGAGGCTCTTTATAAAAAACAATTTATCCCTTTCAAAAGTGCTCGCATGGTAGTCCTCTGATAATCAGTTCATATCAGTTTTCTGCTGATGTTCCATTTCGTGGCACTTGGGTTAATCCTTGCTAAAAAATTCGAAGTAATTATTCTCACTGAATGATGTCCCAGTATTTTGCAGTGAAAATTACACTATAACTGCGTGCGCTGATGCTCAACAGATTGCTAGAATTTTCCGCCTGTTACGGAAACCGTGCTTTTGTAGATGCATTGTCCAGTTCAGTAACTATATATCATAGGCAAAAGTGTTGTGTTTCGCCCGCAGGCAAGCGGAACATAAGAGAATCTTCTTTAGGAAAAAACAACTACAACAATACAATGAAAAAACGCAAGGTAGCGCTGCCACCGCGTCCAGATGATCAGCGCTCGGGGACCTCGGGTGGGGAGGTCCGCTTGTGGTTCGAAACCGACCCTTCTTTTTTGGAGTTGACTCTTACATACCTAAATTTTAGGCGGGAGGCGCATCGAAAAACTGTACGTCAATGCATGATCTCATTTTTGCTCTCCTTCACCATCGAGTCAAAAAGAAATGTCATTTCCTGTTCTTTCTCTCCACTGTAATTGTCGAAGATAGATACGATTTGATGGGACTTCCTGCTTTCTATAGCCTCTTTATACGTATTTATTATTATAAGCAATACCAGTTTCTTTCATAACAGTTAACATGTTTAAGTTTTGCAAATGATTCCATAGTTATTGCCAGCTTTATCTAATGGGCAGAAGATTAAGA